AGAAGCGCGCTTATCAACTCAGTCTCCAATCTGCCGCTAGAGACTGTGGACGGAGACTGTAAGGAGCGCGCTTAGCAATGCCATCTTCAATCTACTGCTACATTTTGTGGATAACGCGAGTATTGGAGCGAGCTCCTGTACGGGCTAATGGATCCAAATGACGGAGCTCAATCTTGCTAACTGGGGTGGAAGGCCGCTTTGAATAAACACTTTTTTGTGTCTGAAATCGTTTTGTAAACCAAAATTTTCAGATCCCTCAGATTTTTACAGTCTTATTATGAATGGTTATTCTATGAACAGGTATATTATTCTTTCGTAGTACTACTATGTGTAAAACATCCAGAGGTAAGGAGCCATTAATATTTTCTGGCCGTTCCGTCTAAACAAAAATTGTTTAAATTTTTCATTTAGTTTGTATATATCATCTGTATTTTCTGATGTGTTTAGTCAGAAATAAATTCATTAATTTTGTAATGGTGTTCCAGGGTATCAACAAACAGCTCAAGGCACGTTTATGCAAACACCAAATGGGAGCTACCAAAACTCACAACCATCCCCTTTAGTTAATGGTGGCGTAACACCAACTGTAAATTCAAATCAACAGCTGAATGGCTCAACGATGGAATATGTTGATGCATCACCTAGACCATCTGAATTTGTCAATGGGACTTACAGTCATTCAAATCAAGTAAGTAAACAATTGGGCTTCTTTTTGCAATCAGGAACTACAATATCTGACTCATTTCTAAAAGCTCTCATCTGCATATGGAGACTAATGACATATAAATTGTTTCTAAATTGAGCTGAAAACTGTAGCTCTCACTTGCAAAGTTTTGTCTTAATGCAGCCTCAAACAATAGAAAATGTTTCTTCTCAAGAGATACCCAAGTATCACAACACCTCGAAAATATTGGAGTAATTTTGTCGTTCATCGCAAAAAAAAATAGATTTTTCCCATGAAATACAACATTTTCATATAATTTGGTCATCAAGTGCAGATTTTAAACTATCAAAAAAATGAGTTCCAAATTTTAGAAAGGCACTCAATTTGCAATGCGAAGACATTGCAACTTATCTCTATTTTATTTCGAATAGTTACAAAAGAATTTCGCAAGAACAGTCAGCAAATTTCATTAAGAGTGTTTGTCCTCAGCAACTTTAGCCGGCATCATTCAAAAGAGTATAAACAGCCATTGAAGCCGCCAAGTCAGTGCCTTTTTCGGTAATTTAAATTTCTAGATGTGGAAATTTTTTTTAAAGTCTAGCAAGAGTCAACATGTTTAAAATAATAAAACCTCAGATGGAAATTTTGTTTGACAGTCAGGGGAAAGCAAGAAAAAGCTAGGAAATCGGGAATTGAATTATTTATGGAAATTCTGCGTTTTGCGTGCATTGTTGATGTTATTTCATCAACCTCAACTAACATTACTGATAACTGTATTCTTTACAGGATGTCACAATGATACCTCCTTCAACAACACCAAACAGCAGGTGCAGTTCTGTTCATGCGGAAAGCAACGGAGATGCTGTTAACAATATCCCTAGCTCTGTAGTCAAAACACCAACAAGCAACAGCTTCTCTTCTGGGCAGGGAAACGCAATGCCTGGGTACCCACATCAACTACCTCCCCAATCTCAGCAGAGTTCACACAACTCTAATGGGTGTGTATTACTCTATTAAACTATTACTCTCAGAACTTGGAAGAATCGTACTCCATCTACACTGGTATCTGTTAGTTGGAAAGCAACCAGATCAAGTAAATGGAGTGATAATTATTACTATTGACATTAATAATTATTAGTCCTTAATAAACAGAATTATAAATAGTGTCTACAAAAACAATTCTCCGGGTGACAAGCCCTTGAAAAGTCAGGGAAAACCTGAATAATGCAGGGAAAACCAGAAAAGTCAAGAAATTTTTCTGCAGAACCTTGAAGTTTTTCTCTTCCAGCCAAATAATTTCATTTTTTCGATTTCAAGAGACTTCACGATTAAAATTTGTTGCGAAAAGAAGTTTTATGAGAAATCAAGCCAACCTAGAACATTGAAAAGGCAGGAAGAAATCGGGAATCTTTATTCGAAACAAACCAGAAAATTCAGGGAATTTTGAAATCCAAGAAACCTTGTCACCCTGATTTTGCGATTTTTAATTTTTTTTTTTTTCGTCTTTTACTCTTTGAAATTGATGTGCTGGTCAATTGATAGCATTTTTTTCTTCTTTTCTACAGGTACCCAGGCGGTGAAATAAATTCTGGGGAACAGTCAGCTGAACAAGAGTCTCTTAAACTGATGAAATCAGAAAGGCTCAGTCCTTTCTCCCCTCAGTCACCTTGGGCAAATGCTCGATCTCAAAATTTTTCGGGAAATAGGAATGAGCGAAATAATTCAGAAAATCTTCCTAACAATGATGTAAATATTTCCTCATATCAGCAGCAGTCTGAACAGCCAAGCCATGCAAGTAGTCATGTTAACAGCCGGTTAAAAAACATGATTTTAAATAAACAACAAAACAACCAACAGCAGCAACAAAACTTAAATTTACAGTACCAGCAACAGCAACATCATCAGCAACAACAACAGCAACAACAACAGCAGCAACAACAGCAGCAACAGCAGCAGCATCAACAGCAGCTACAACAACACCAACAACAACAGCAGCAGCAGCAACAACAACAACAACAACAACAGCAGCAGCAGCAGCAGCTACAGCAACAACACCAACAACAGCTTCAACGACAACATCAACAGCAAATGGCTGAAAGCCACCTAGAGCATCAACAGCTACAAAGAAACCAAAGTATACAGTCGCCAAATCCTGAAAGTTACGGCGGCAGTGGAATGCACCAACAACATCAGCAGCAGCAATATATGATAAACGAATCTAATAATTCCAAATCTCCAATGAATAATTTTTTAGCCCAAGGCCACCATCCTCGGAACTTAGTTACTGAGGGTGGTGGCGTTAAACAATGGAACTCTCACGAAAGAGTTCCAGTAGCAGATGCTAATGCCTCCGCTGCAAAATTTTTCTTTAAGTATGTAAGCCCCACAAGAAATGCAAAGGAAGATTTCATAACACATATCAACCCAATGCCCTTAAACACAAATTATGTTAATACTCACAGCAAGTTAACTGTTCCCTTTCCTCCGTTCCCTAAATCTGATTGGAATATTCAGAATATTATCAAGCAGGAGACACCATCAGAAACTGACATAAATTTTAACATCAAAAAAAGTTCTTCTATAATGAAACCATTATCTGAGGAGCCACAAGAGAGTGGACATTATTTTCCAGGAAAATGCTTGATTAATGGTTCAACTACTAGTGAAAAACTGCAAAAAAATGATCGCAATAAATCGTGGCCTTCGTACAAACCTCAAGACCTTGTAAACAGTGCATCATACGTCCGAAATAATCACAGCTTGAATGGAATGCCAATTTTTAATCCTGAACGTTTTGAAACGCATAAAAGAGAACCTGTTACCTCTTTGTATGATCCTGGCTATTTTCCTTCAAATCAATTTCCAGTAAAAAACCACCCTAAAAAATGTCTGCCTCTGGGCTCTTTTCTGGAACAACCACTAAAGACAGATCCAGCTAAGCGCTCTGAAAATTATTCCTGTCGGATTGAAAAGGAAGTGGATCATAAATCAAAGGTTATAATCGAAGATCGAAGGCCTGCAGGAATCAAAATCTGTCATGTGCCAAGATATCAAGAGATTCCTTTTGGATCTGATCCAAGATTAACTTCGGGAAAAATTAAGGAGGAAAAATGTGATGGATCTGAACTCAAGTCCAGTTTTATTTTTGGTGCGGGCGGAGGGCCTTGTTCAATGGAGACTACAGGCGGGTCGTGGTGCTGTAGGCAAGGAGGAGTGCAAACTCCAACCGCTGAACACTGTTGTCAAGGGTTGCAGACGAAGGATGAAGTTCTAGAATCAAATGAAGACGATGAGAAAAATGTTACGGTGAAGGACGAAAAGAGCAGTTTATTAGATTGTAAGCCAGAAATGGATAATATCAATGACGTGAAACCTCCTATCTCATCTCCGAATATGTCAGCAAAAGAATTTCAGGAGCATATTGAAAGGTGAGCAGTACTTGATTTTGTTATTTTCTTGTGCTCATTGATTGAACAAGGTTGCCAGTCAGGGAGTACCAGGATACCTGGAAATGTCAAGGAATTTTTAAAAGTCAGGGAAAACCTGGATATGTCAGGAAAAATAACGAAAGTGTGAAGGAAAAAATTGTTGAGTCACATATATTTACTTTCTAGAATGGATTGAATGTTTGAAACAACAAATTTTGCCTGAAAACTACTTCAAATTATGTCTATTCAACCATCTGGCATATCCTCAATTGTCTGAGAATTTAAGCAAAATGTGTCAAGGAAATGTCAGAGAATTTCATTATATAAATTCTGTGGCAACCCTGAAAATGCGGCAGACTGAAACAGTCACAAATTTTCAAAATATCTCTAGTTATGGCAAATCAGGGCTGAATTTTAATAGGATACCTTGTTTTTTCGTCCTTTTTAAAGTCTGTTTATCGATCTCTCTAAAGTCTTTAGATTTCAACGTCTTCATTTCTGTCATTTCTAATTCAGGTTGAAAAATAACATCAAAGTTGAAGTTCCTGACTGTAACTGTTTTCCTGCGGATAAATTTCCACCAGAGCCTGGTTCATATTACACTCACCTTGGAGCTGCTGAATCCCTACCGGAGCTGAGGAAAGATCTTGAGAAAAGGACAGGACTAAAAGACAAAGCAATCAGAGTAGAAAAGGTGCGTACATTAATTTTCTTGAGTAATAAACACCCTTTCTTATTTGATAATTTACTTTGGTAAAGTCTTTTGGTACTATTTTCACGCACTTTAGAACCATTACCCAGCCTGTAAAAAGTTTTTTTTCTTTTTTTCCCAATGAGATTTTATTTAAGCTTTGTTTCATGAAAGAGGGTATCTTGATGGTGTAAGTCGGCAATCATATAACTCGGTTTGCGATGTCGCAGACTTCCTGTCATACTTTATTTTTTAAACAGAAAACTACTCAACGGCAATTCTTTACAAGTGCCGTGATTTTCTTCTCTGTGCGAAGAAAATTCTGCATAAACTTCTAGGAATGATGTTAATTTGTTCTCCTTTAAAAAAATAACATGGAGGCGTAGATTCTCAGACACCGCAAACGAGATATGTGATTGCGAACTTACGCCGTCGATGTGTTTTCTCCTGAAGTTATAAGGCATCAAATTTAAAGGAAGAAATGAACTTTTGAATTCAATTGTAATTTTGGTTTTCCGGTTTTTTTCTGGACTCTTAACCTTTTGATAAGTACCCTCATGTCTCCAAAATGCAGCCTGTTGAAAGTATCTCCTAATTATTTTAAGAATTGTAAACTAAATTCAGTAAGTAGAAAAATTTATTTTAACATGTATGACAATAAAATCTATGCCTTCTCTCGTTATGAGTCAAAGTTGATGCGACTTAAGTGACCATAATTTTTCTCTCGACAACAATTATCTTGTGTTCTAATTTTGATTTTCATCTTAACCTCCCCAGATCTTGTACACTGGTAAGGAAGGAAAAACATCGCAAGGCTGTCCCATGGCAAAATGGATAATTCGTAGAGCATCAACCGAGGAGAAGGTATTGGTGATTGTAAAGTATCGACAAGGTCACAAATGCTCCTCAGCATGGATTGTCGTTGTTCTTGTGGCGTGGGAGGGTGTGCCAACATCAGAAGCTGACTGCCTTTACTCCATGCTCACTCATAAATTGAATCGGTAACTATGTTTGCATTTTTATTTTTTGGTTTAGAATATAACTGTGTTTATTATTATTCAAGAAACAGGACATTTTTTTTGCATTATCCATAATTTTCAACGGAAATAAACCAAGGAATCACCCTTTTGTTTTGAATGGGAGAACTTCGAGCAGTTGAAAAATTTCTTTCAAGTCCCTCTCAAGTAATATTCATCAGTCATTTTGAAAGCATGTAGTTGTCACATCATGATCTTTTTTATTTCTTTTTTAATCCTAAGAAATTGTTTATTTTTGCACAGATATGGTTTACCAACTGTTCGAAGATGTGCCACAAATGAACCGAGGACTTGTGCTTGCCAGGGATTGGATCCCAAGACTTGCGGAGCCTCGTTCTCTTTTGGATGTTCTTGGTCCATGTATTACAACGGTTGCAAATATGCCCGAAGTAAAACTGTTAGAAAATTTCGACTATCAGTCCGCTCAGAGGTAAGTTGACTTATTTTCCTGGAACTTTTTATGAATTTAAAAGCTGAAAGTTTAAATGTATGTTTTCTGTTTTGTAAAAAAAAGTGTTTTTTAAAGAATGTAGTTTCATCTCATAGGTAGAGGACAGAAATTATGCTTTGGAAATTGATAACTGTTGAGCTAAATTAAAAGCTAAGATCAATATTTAAATAACTGTCAATTCATTGTCAGATCAAGGTTAGCTAAGAGAGTTAGGTCAATCCTGTCCCTTTCAAGAGTGGTCCCCTGGTCAAGGAAAGTTTATTTTTATCAGTTTGTGGCTAATCTAGGCTTTAAGACCTTCTGTGCTACAACTTTGGCATCCATTTTGAATTTACAATCTGTAGAATATTGTGGTTAAAGAAGCTCACAGGAGTTTTACTAGCTCAAAAATATGTCATTTTACTTACGTTACTTTTCTTGCCAAAGTATTGTATAATTCCCAAGATTGGAAGTAGTCCTGATATTCACTAGCGGGCTGATTATTGAAACTGATAGACAAAGCAATAGACAAAGAAGATATATGGAGTATAGAGCTTTCCTATTGGTTGAAATGGGTGGTTCCTGTAGACTAAGGGGGTAAATCATGGACTAACTATCGGGTCTCTTGTGAGTTGCTGTTAGTTAGTCTATTCCATTCCTCCTATGTCCTTTGCAACCACCCGCCTCCTCCAATAGGATCTTTTCAAATCCCTTTTGTTTTTTTTGTCTATAGCTTTGTCTATCAATTTCAATAATCGGTCCGCTGATCACTTTTAAATTTCACTACCATCTCCTTAATCTATCCACTTTTTTCAGGAACAAGAAGTCGAAGAACGATTGCAGTGTCTGGCGACCAATCTTTCCCCACTCTACCACTCATTAGCGCCCGAGGCGTGGAATAATCAGACTCAGTTTGAGCGAGAGGCTTCCGACTGCAGACTAGGTCTCAAACAAGGCCGTCCATTTGCCAGTGTTACAGCTTGTATCGACTTTTGTGCTCACGCACATCGGGACCTGCATAACATGAACAATGGATGTACTGTCGTCGTGAGTTTGACGAAACAGCGGGGTCTCTCGAAAGGCGAAGATGAACAGCTCCACGTGTTACCACTCTATGCAATGGACGATTCGGACGAGTTCGGAGATAAAATGGCTCAGGAAGAAAAAGTGAAGAAAGGAGCTGTTGAAGTACTGACTAAGTACGTTCATTGCACATATGAATCTACTATTCCAAAATAAAAATAGGTCATAATTAATCACAAGGGGGTTTCCTTTAGCCAGTTCCAGCCAGCTCAACCACCATGTTCACAGAAGACACTTGAAGGCATTAAATGCAATTTAGCTCAAACAGCTCATATTATAAAAATTCAAAGATAGTAATTTCATCTGCAGGCTTTTACATACCTACCATAGCCGGAAAATTATGGAAATTGACTCGGTTGATCCCCAGCTAAGTTATCATACAGAAGGCCGTTTTGTTAGCCAGAATACATATATGTACAATTAATTATTTTTTGGGTCAAATCCAACCACAAGAGTAAAAATTTTGAGCTTTGGAAGAATTTCAATAAATTATATGGTTGTATTCAAGTAATTGTAACGCAAAGAACATCGCTCCAATATTTTTTCCAAGTTGCTGAATGGCTGTTGGTCTATTTTTTATGAGGCAGTTTTCTTTTTTTGCCCGATGTCACAAGTGAATCAAAAGAATAAGGAATTTATCGTAGAGAGTAGTATGTGTAGGTAGTTGGTAATACTAAGTTGTAACAACTTAGTATTGTACAACTTAACATTATGGTGGCTTGTGAGGATTTACTGATTTTGATTGTATTTTGTTTGTATTTGTATTGTATTTTGTTTGATTGTATTAATCAGGTTGATTCTTTCTGCAGGTATCCATGCCAAGTCCGAGTACGAGCTGTTCCTTTGCAGCCGTGTCGGAGACAAGGGAAGAAGAGGAAAGAGGAGGAGCTAGAGGCAGCCTCTGATAAGAACAAAGCAACCTCGGAAAGTCAAGATCTGCCCCCCAATACCTATTTGCCCAGTGAAATATCTGTTTCAGAAAGGATAGAGTCTCAGCTACAAAGTTCTCAGGTGGGTTAGCTAGTAAATTTTATATAGGTAGTAGCCAAGGAAGATATATAAGTATAAGTGCCTTTAACGTAGCCCTGAATTCATATACACTAAAGCTCAACTTGGGTAGAAAAGGCTAAAAATATAAATGAAAAATCTGAGACGTTTCGCCTAAAATCTCAGGCATTTTCAATCAAATGAAAATAAAAAAGGCCAAGAACACAATATAACGGTCGTCTCTCAGACCGGAGTAGCGAGGTACGGACTGGACTACAAATTGATAAAACCTCATGATCGAAATTTCAAGTGATAATTCTCTGTCTTACAAACTGAGAAAATATTTTGGGTTTGTCATCAATGTAACCACCAATGGAGAATTGAACCCTAATACACTGGCATATTCAAGAGAAATTATTCCCTCATTGTGTAAAAAAAATCAGTTTTTGAGTTTTTGACAGGAAACGTTCGCCAGTATTCGCAAGAATGAGTCGTAAGAGGTTTACTTCATTTTTGTGTCTGTAGAGGGATCGTGAAATTATAAAGCAATCAAAAATTTTTCAGCTTGAACATGGATTGAATATACATTTCGTTAGTCGAAGATGCATTTTATTCAGATACAGAAGCATTAGTCGCTAATGCATTTCAGAGTTCACCCCATCATCAGAGCATTATAAATTCGGTGAATAAAATCCATACATGCTACAGTTAATATTCAATTTTTTAAAAAATATATAGTAATGTTTAAAATTGTTTTAAAAATGTAACATAAAATGTGGCATGTATGGATTTTATCCACCAAATGCATAGTGCTCTGAGGCAGTCAAAATGTTAATTTATGCAAAGACTATAAAGAATTTGCTCTGTGTTTTCACCATAGGTATCATCAACTGTATTGGATAGTCCCATCTCATCGTATCCTGGTTGGATGTTTCCACCTCAGGCTCAGTACCTCAATCGTGAAATGTATCACAGTCCTCATCCTGAGTGGTTTCAGTCCTCATATCAGCCGGCACCATATTTAAATTGGGTGGAGCCAATATCATGGAACACCTCAACTCCTCTTCATTCCATAGGTTAGTATAGCAGTCTATGTCATTGACCCTCTTAATTTTTTTAAAATGGTAACTGCCAATGGAAACTTCCTGCTCATAAAAAATCACAATCTACTATCTTCTCGAGTAAAATTGCTCACTAAACGTAATCGTAACAGTTTCTGCAGTATGAAAATATGGCACCCTCCATTGCAGCGCTTCAGCTCAGACGTTGTTTACACTTTGAACAACATGAAACAGGGAAGGAACACAGCTTATTGAGAAGCCTACTAAAACTGTTGTACTGCACGATTTGATTTACGCGGATTCTGGTCCTTCTTGTGAGCAACTCACGTGTAGAAACGGTCCATCCCATTCTAGTTAATTCTTCATTGCAAGTAACATAGCCTAAACTTCCTAACAATTTGATTTTTAGCTTTGCTTCTTGGACTCCTGTCTAAATCTATATAGGTTTTTTATTGTTTCAGATAATTGGACAACTACTGGATCTGGCAGCTTTAGTTTTGAGGGAAGTTTCAAAAGAGAGCTCAAAGTGGATGCAGACAGCACAACCAATGGCTTGTTTCGCGGTGCCTTTAGTTCGCCTCATAAAATAGTCACCTCGCCCAGTGTCGGGCATCATCAGCCCCAATTGAACGCAGTGAATGCTGCCAGCAGTTGGTCAGCTTTACCTGAAAGGGGGAACCCGAATCTACCTCAGGGACACTATTCAGACATATCGGCCCCTGGACTTTCACCCTTCGAACAGTCATTTCATACGAGAGGTGAAAATCGCACCAACAGTGGTGATCCTCGAAACAAAATTAGTTTTAATCCAACTTTAGATGTTAAGAAGCAGCACAATTTGAGTGATAACTTACTGAACGAACCCACACACTCACAGATTAACGTCAGACAAGAGTCAGCATTCAGCTCTCCTTCTAGTCAAACTTCTCAGTATTCAAACCTCCCACCAGAAAGTTCTGGCTGGACCTCGTTGGATCCTCTGGACACCTCTCACTGGAGTCGCAACAGCTCAGAGTCTTCTAATGGCGTAAAGTCTTCATCTTCTTTTCGAGTGCCATCTGGGAGACCACCATCCCTAAGTGGCTCCGTTTCGGGGCCATTATATCTCCCTCATAATGGGAAAGCCACCAGTGCACGCTCGCCGAGTTTTCCACAAAACCTCAGTGAAAAATCGTACGAGTCGTCAAGCGGTTACGGATCAAACACCTCCAGAAGCTCAGTTCTTTCAGAATCTTCTAGTTCAGAATTCAGTCAGTCACCGTGTGAAAATAAGACAGCATTTAGTAGTTTAGATACTTCAAGCAAAACTTGGTTTGAAGACAGTCCTTCTTTAAGTGATAAATCCGCAGAGTCTAAGTCAAATGATCTCAGTCAATTTTTAAAAAGAGATTCTGAGTGTGTAAGTTTTTCCGCTCCAGTGCTAGGATCCGATCATCAATCGTCAATGTATTCTGTCGGAGACTGGTCCAGAAAATCTGGAGTGAATCCTATCAATGGCGTATCATCAAAACCAGTTAACTACATAAATGCTCACATGAAACCAGAAGTTGTGCTGCAGAAACAGCCTGTGCACCAAGCCAACAACTTAACTTATCAGGCACTTCATGATGCTAATCTGATTCACTCGTCTCCTCTCAACAATCTGCCTCCAAGCTATAACATGAAGCCTCACTTCTCTCAGGAGAATTCTAACCAAGACTCAATTGGATCTCATCCGTTACCGAATACATGTTATAGCTCACAAAGTCTTCATCCACAGTTACGGACCAACTTTGAGAATATGCCTCAGTACTATCCACCCAATCCTGCTTTGGGGCCCTCAAATTCCCATTTAGCTCCATCTGTGCCTTATCAAAGCCAGGTAATTCTAGTCTCCTTGAGTTTAATACTTTATTTTTCATAGACATGTGTTTTCTTCAACAAGCTCAGCTTTTTCTGAATCAAGTAAAACGAGTTGTAGATTTTTGTTGCAATGCCGTAAATTGAACCTAAAGACCTTGTAATATGTTTATTTTTAGTATGAGGTCGCTTAAGATGTTTCTGAATCTTTAAATGTTTGAGTACTTCTGCTCTTTGGGTCTCGATCCCAGTGGCGTGCAGTCCTGGCAAGCAAAAATTGTAAGAGAAGGAAAAAATTATATCCATGAAGTTCATTGAATTTTTGCTTAAGATAATTGACAAGAAGTTGTAAGTAAGTAAAGTAAAGACAGAAGGATCGGAACAAAAATATTCATGGGGCCACAGGAGTAGTAGCAAAGTCAGGCTAATGGAAGAGGCGAAGTAAACTGAGTGGCCGCACTAGAAAATTTCATGCTACTGGCTAAGCGGAGAGCTCCGTTAACCAGAGAATTCAGAAAGGAGGGTAGTGTGAAACGCATTGAGTCATTGAGATTCATTACTTGATCACGGCTCGGTCCCCTTGGCTCTTGGATGCACCACAGTCAGTCCTACCAGGCAGTTGATTCAACGTTGCCATCACCATGGTCGCTACCTCCATTTTTGCTACGCTCCTTTCAGTTTTCTCTCTCCAGTGATGCAGAGATCACTCGCTCCAGAGTTTATGCCCTTTGTAATGGTCTAAATTCTCTAAAATTCAAACGAAACTTGCCGATCATAAGGAAGTAAGGAATTATATGATATTTTCTTTTCCACATTTTTGATGGTCTTTGGTTACTTCATCATTACTTTTTAGTGTGCCTAGTGTTCTAAAAGATTATATGCGACTAATTTTGTATTTTTCTGATGCAGGGAATCCAACAATCATCAAAGCTGGATTTATTTGGTGGGACATCACCCTTTGATCCAGTTGCAACAGAAGCTCCTAAAGCAACCGAAAGACTAGGACAAGTATTAGGTCATTCGGATAATGAAGAGTGTTTCAGAGTAAGTGCTCCTTGAAGCTTGTTTTTCAGTTAATGTGTCTTGCAGTTAGTTTTGAACGATGTGACTGCACTCTGCATAAGCAGATGAAAAGGGTTAATGTTATCTGAAGCAGGGTGTGCCCAGCGAAAGTGTGGACCTGTGACACTGTAAGAGACGATAGCACAGTAACATAACTGTTGATTCTGTCAATGTGGAAATATGACTAAAGACCTCCAAAATGTAATCTGTGTTTGGCAAAAAGAGAGCTAGGGAGAGTGAAATTTTTGTGGATAGAGCTGAAAGCTTACATAACAAAATCATAGAAAAATGGAACTGCTTTGTTTCCAACAGCGTGCCTTTATTTTTTAAAACTTTGTTCCAGGATTCACAAATTGGAAATATGACTAAAGACTTCCGAAGTGTAATCTGTGTTTGGCAAAAAGAAAACTGTAGAGAGTGAAATTTTGTGGATAGAGCCAAAAGCTTACATAGCAAAATCACAAAAAAATAACGGCTTTGTTTGCAACAGGAAGCATTTATTTTCTAACATTTTGTTCCAGGATTCACAAATTGGCGGTGTGGCAATTGCTCTCAGTCATGGATCCGTCCTGTTTGAATGCGCAAAACATGAACTGCATTCAACGACAGCGCTGAAAAATCCCAATCGCCAAGAGCCGTCACGCATAAGCTTGGTATTCTACCAGCATCGCAATCTAAACCGGCCGAAACACGGATTGGACGAGTGGGAGGAGAAGATGAGGCTTCGGAAATTAGGCATCACGACATCTCAGTCAAACATACAAAGTACATCCTCTTCAACTGCAGCTTCCTCTGTCGCCTCCGATTTTTTCCAGCTTCTCCCGTCGAAAGACAAAGTCTCCTTATCCTCATCGCAATGCATGATGAGGGCACTCACCGCGACAACAACTACATGGACAACACTGTTTCCTATGCACCCGTGTATGATCAGTGGACCCTATCAAGAAGATGCTCCTGTTCCTTCATAGTGACTCTCTAGTAAATTTGTTACAAATAATGCTCCTTGGCAATGATTTTTACATTTTCAACAGATGTTGAGAGCCCAACGGTCCTCTCTATTTCCATTACATAGTGTTTTTCAAATGCTCACAAGAAACTTTTTCAAGTTTCTGCGTTGTATATTATGTGTAAAGGGTATGGTTACAGGTTTCTTCCCGGTTTTACAAATAATGTGATTTGAATTGGTTTAATACTTATTTTTTGTAGGGGTTTTTCCTCTACTTTTTTAAATTTGGAGAAATATTTCTACCCGTATAACTAGTTTAATTATCTGAAAAGGATAGTTTAAGCTGTGTACACCACTGGATTTTGACCACAAGCCTAGACATATTTACTTCACTGGCAACAAATAGCCACAAATGGTGGATGAAAAATTGGCTCGCTTTTTTTTCTCTTTTTCCCTCCAAAAACTTGTAAAACTTATTTTAAATTGTGTCTAGCGTTTGATTTTCTTCTCTCAGTCGCAATACGCGATAGATTCATTAAAGTTGTGCAAATATTTTGTAGAAGGTATGAGTGCTTCTTTATTTTACATTTTTTCTTGAATCTACAAATTAGGAGAAAATTTCTAATCAAAAACTTTTTAAATATTAGATTGGATTTTTTTTACTCATTAATTTTTTGCTGGTCAAAATTTAAGGAAAGTTAATTACTTTTTTAAGGAGAAATTCTAGTTATCATTTCCAACATATCATATTCTAATATTTTAAATTCTCAGCGTAAAAGTTGCATTGTAAAATTAATCACTCGGAAAACTTCAGTTCCCATTTCATCATATATTTTATGAAGCAAACATGAGAAAAAATGACAAAGTGTAAATATTTTATTGCCATTATAAAATAACATGGGAAAAATATGAGAAAGAAAGAAAAAAATTACCTCTTAGAAAAAAAGAGAGAAAAATTGTGAGAAGCGGTCATTTCAATAGTTTTGAATGAAATCATCAGAATAACTTTTCCTAGGTACAATCATTATTAGGATCAAAACATAAAAATTTTATTTGTCAGCGAGTTAAAGAAAAAAATCAGTGTTGTGTACGGTTAGACAAAAATGCCTAATTGTTTTAAAATTCCAAGCCTATTTTATATAATCCTACTTATAGTACAAAATCAAATCATCGTAATCATTAAATTGTATATTTTAATAAAAACAAATTTGCGATTGTTCAAAGCTTAAAAGTTTCTTTCTATTTATTCGCTGTTCTAATTTTATTTTTTCTATCAGACAAATTTATTTGAGCCGTTTAAAAGAAGAAAAAAACAAAATCTTATTTTTTTTTTATATAAAGTAGTGTTATGTAAAGTTATTTATCATCAGTATAATAAAAAAAAATCTTTGTAAGTACATTTGATGGGTTAAACTATCTCCTACTTTATAAGTACCTGATTGATAAATTTTTCAGCCTTTTTTAAAATAATCAGTTTTGAATGATGTTCATTTGAAAACTTTATTCAACGTTCTAAGCTGTATTTCAACATTTATCAATGTTAACTTTGTTCATATGCTTACTACGGTATTTTTTGGATTTCAATTTGAACCTGTAGATTTGTAACTTAATAATTTTGTTCGTGTTTTTAAATCGTCTCGTTTTATTGTCAGCTCAGTCTTTATTTGTGTCACTTTTCAATTTAATTCATTTCCATTATTTGTCTCTCCCTTTGCACTATTGTCAAGCAATTCATGAAAAGTCCAAAGTTCAGTCATATGATTAGGCTGGGATATCTTTTTTTAATACGAACATTTTCAAAGGATGTTTTCACCTTTCTTGATCAGAATGTTTTATATCCTGTTTAGGTCATGAACTGTATCTCTTACCCTGTAACTTGATATCAGTTTTAATTTTAACAATCCTTGTTTCATATTTTTGGTAAAAAGTATAAGTTATGAATAAGTTATTGAACTACTGCTGGTTTTCTAAGTTGCAAAAACGAAATAGAGAATATCCATTTAACTTTTTGCATTTACAGTTCTCTCAGCATTCCACTATGTTTTTCTTACAAAAAGAAAAATGGAGAAACAGTGATTTCGTTCTTGTGAGTGAATCTTCCTGCTCAAATCAGACGATTAGTCATCTTTTTGACTATTTCTCTAGTCCGGAAAAACTGCATCCATTTTCTGGCTTAAGCCTAAAAATTGTAACAGCAATTTTTATAATGTCTGCAGTGCATGACTACAGTTTTCAGTAGCTTGCTGTCGTGCAAGTTCTGCTGTCATTGTTTTTTTTTTTTTTCATTTTTTTTCTTTATCCTAGCTATCAAAAGAGTATCTGTCAAAGGCTCTGTTAGCGTTGAATTGACTATTTCAATACAGGATTTAGATATAACCATGAGTATTTTGTTCAATCTTCTCAGCATTTTTTGTAACAAAGAAAGCATTTTGGTGTTATCATCTACAAGCACAATAATTTTCTTGCATGTCTGGTTCCGTTAAGGTATCTTTGTTTGTACGCTTTGCAAAAATTAATAATTAAAAAAAAGGAAAAAAAAAATATGTAAGACAAAATTTGAACATAAAAAAGAGCATGGTTTTAATATCCTGAATTCTTGTACGAAGATGAAACCCCTTTTTTTTGATCTCAACAAATAATTATCTAGGATCTAGTGTAATTTTATAATGATCGTTTTGTAATGTACCTATACCGTCTTTTCTATTTTATTTTTTAAATTTATTGTACAGATTTCAATCTAAACCAGCTCCTTTTTTCCATACTCTGCGTGGAATGAGACATCATTTCATTTATTTTCTAACATTTGAACTCTTTTTTCCCTTGTATAGTTATTGAATGAGAGGCTTTTGAAATATTCATCTATTTCACTGTGTTGCAAGGGGTTAATATGGGCTGTTTTTGGCTCAGCAGGATGTAGATAATTTTAAGTTTTCAAAAATATGGTGGATAGGGTACTGGGACAGTAGGTAAATTTCCCCTCACCTGGCCGCATTTAATTTTGAGTATGATTCAAATTTCTAGAACGGTCTTAGCCAGATTGTAAGAAATCAAGCAACATTGTCTCGAGTTTCAGAAATTCATAATAGGTTAATGGAGGAACTCTGCTAATATTTTGACATGCACCAAAAAGGTAAAGATTTTGCATGAAGCGCAATTTAAAAATTGGCATCTCTTGTCCCTGATTAAACCTTAACTTAATGTTCTTAAATTACAGTAAAAGAAATTATCAATGCTCAAATTGTGAGGTGAGGGCTTATCGGCTAGAGGCCGATTGGTCGCTCTGATAAATTATGAAAAAAAGGTGTTCACTTTCTTAAAAAGTCCTGAGGAGCTGCCGATAATTACTTTTCGGTTTTCTGGGCTCCAAACACCCCTTATTGATTCTTCCCTTGTTACTGTTATGTGTTCATGTTAATCGTTGAAAGTCACCTTTTAACTGCTCTTTTGGTTGGATTAAACCAAAGAAAATTAATTAATTCAATTCTTTCATCTCAAGAATTTGACTCTTTGTTTATTCGCCCTCCCCCTCCCCTGTAAAATTTATTTTCCTGTAGTCAGTATATTTTTTAGTTTAATTTATCTAATTTATTTGTAAAATATCATTTCGTGACTTGTACACATTATAAATGTTTTGTGTTGTTATTTATTATTTCATTTGTGTATTTATTTTTTTATTTATTAATTTTTTCTTTTTTTTCATTGTCTTACTTTTACGTTAGTTTTACACACCTACCCATTTTTGGTCCTTAAATCTTTCGAGTGTATTGTAGGCTTAAACCCTGTAGTTTTAAATTTTATTGTTTCTCAAGCGTTCTGTTTTGTGTTTTTTTTTTACTCTTTCCTCTCTGCTCATTCCGCTGTTTTTATTTGGAAAACCTGTTTTTATGTTAGGTTAATCTTTCAATTGTTCATTTCATCTAGTCTTCTTTGTAGGTTTAAAATTATGTTACTCTAACATCTCACCACTCTCTCTAATGATTTTCTTTCACCATTTTTGCGTTGTTTACGCTTTTGACTTCAAAGTTACCCATCATCTCTTGTTCACTAAGGGAAATGATTCAGTATTCACCATTTGAAATAATTGAATGCAGAAAAAACATGAGAGAAGTTATAGACCACTCAATTTTGCTGGGTGTCAAAATGAAGAAGTGAAGCTGCATTTTTGACTACAGCACTAGATACACGAAGAGATCTCCAAATTTCATAAATCCTACTTTTCATTCATTATAATTCTACACCCTACATTTACTCCTAAGACTAAATAAAAGCATCTACATTAGCATAAGCATCTATAAGTTGTTATTTTTTGTTCCATAATCTAACTAATTTGACTAATTTACAAACACCTTTCTCTTACGAATTTCTGTTTAATTTATTTTCTTACTTAATAATCGTAAGTCTCTCAAACTACCATGCTGCCAGGGTTTTGGTTCTAGTAAGAAATATAGGAATGATTTCATTCAATTTCAAGCAAATATCCACGAGTGAATTTGGTTCAGTTTATGACATACTGCCAACCTTTGTCAATACAAAACGAAATTCCCTCCAGACAACAGTGCCCACTTCTGTAGGTGGGTCAAGAAATGAATTCTTGCAAACGTTGAGTGCAAGTCATCAAACCCCCGAGTTCAGCTCTTGACTTCTGGTGACTGTTTTTTTTTTGTCTGTCAGCAGGTTTGTGAAATCTGGCTTAAAAGTGAACCAAATTCCTCCTGTAGAAATGTGTCAATTGCTTTGTTTGCTTATGTTGATCATTCGTAGTACGACTTCTCGGAACAAGATATCCCTTTCAAAACTTACTTTCAAATCTTTCGCTCTAAGACCTATCAATGCCGCATTTTTACCTCTCAGGCCAAGTTTAATTAAATATAAGCTGATAAAAAAATGTAGGTAATAACTATCATTGGAGATTTAAGGACCTAAGTTAATTTTAGTTTTAATTTTTACCCATTGTAAAAAGTATTTTGTGTTCCTCTCTCTACATAAGATGTTTCACAATCATATTTCATTTTTCTCTTTAACAATTGAATTGGCAAAGTAGAAGGATGTCCTATCTCCACCCCACTCCTCCTGTCTTTCCATTCCGTCATAAAATTTGAACAAGTTTTCTCAAACTGATTGCAGTTTACTTTTTTTTGCTCACTGAGACCAAGTTTTGTATCAATAAGCCCCGTGTTTTCTTTTTTGTACAATGAGTTATGAGGTTATGAATCGAGAATCTTTCATTTTCATCTGAACCAATCAACAGCTAGTGTTGACAGGGCAAATAAATGGCTCGTAATTTTCCCTCCATTTTGTGATTAGCTACCAAAAATCGGAAAATTTGTTTATCTTTTTGCCCTCAGGCATTGTAAATAATCATGAAATTACAGCGTGTTTTTCAACATACCTTGGTTGTACCTACATATTTTATTGTACTTTTTTAATTTTAAATGCCTTGATATCTAGGCAAAAGAAGAAAAAATCAGAAATAAAAACAGATATTATTTTCAAGGGACACATTCTTGCTTTTTTTCGTGTTGCGTCAATGCTCTGATTCTTTGTATTTGTAGGTTCAACTTGGTGTTTCAATATCCTCAGAAAATTTGCCATATCGTATTTGTAAATGAATCATTTCATTCAATATATTTTTGCCAACATATTTTACATCTGCAAAAGAAAAATTTGAACAAAGATAAGGAGATCCATTTAACGTTTAAAACAAACAATTTTGATTTAACACTACAAAATTTCTCGTCATGATACCTTCATTTTAAAATTGATTTGGGCTCTATTCCATATTTTCCAGAAATCTACCCTGTGATAACAAAGTGAAAAGCTTGCAAGTTTTCCATCCCCATAAACAGTGCATGAATCTTTTTTTTCATTACTCATTATTATTTTGCTCCAATTCAAGACTGCAGTCAAGCGGTTCCTGAACCCAATCTCTCCCCCCACCATCAAATTTCAAATTAAGTATAGATTCAGAGTTTCTTGGATCCACCAAGTAATTACTTCACCATTTTACGCTTTAAGAATCTCAGTTGGAAAGAAACCAGCAGTAAAAATAAAGAAATGTTAGCTCAATTTAGATTTACCCAATTTTTGTAATTTTTTTGTACTGTATAAAAGTATTTTTATCTTTAAAAATTTTATTGTGATGTTTGAACAATTTAAAGGAATTTTTCCAATTCTAATTTTTTTAAAAAAAAAACAATACTATCATTTGTGTTATACTAAGCTAGTAGCTAAAACTATTCAAAAAATTACCTGTTTTGTATTGAACGTGAAAGCTCTGCATTTTACCATCATTTTACTTTAATCCGGGGCTGATAAATTTCGCTCTCACATTTTTTCATTTCGCGCAAAATTGCAACTGCTTGGAAAGTGAACAATCAAATGGCCAATTTTTAGATTAATGCCTCATTACAACTTACATCTTTTATTTATTTATTTTTTTTTCTTCACAATAATCCTCACGTAGAAGTGCCAATTTTTTTTCCAAGCCATACATTGAAATTGCTTATGGTTTTTTTGTAGTTCAAGCAATCAGATCATTTTCTATACTCAAATTCACTTTTTCTTGCAGTCTTTTCTTTTTACTTATCAATATTTTAAAGAATTTTCATAAAAGTTAGTCTATGAATGTCACAATATGAACAAACGGCCCTAGCAAGTTTCGATCGGGTTTCTTATCAGTTTTGTATTAATGCAGGACACCCTTGAGCTCTACCTAAAACTTGGTATCCATAATCTGTATCTAAGTTACACTTAAAGTTGCAAAACTCATTCTCGTTTAGGTATCAAACCTGAAAAATCTGTCTCTCCTTTAAATTGTCAGGTCTTTTGAAATTTTAATGGTAGAAATGCTTGCTTTTTCTCACTTGTCATGCAGACCATGTCTCTATTCTCCAGAGTTTTGCTGACTTGGCATGCCTTAGAAATGCTGTTGCTTAAATTAAGACTTTTCCAATAAATGCATGCGGGTCAAAAAGTCGCCCTGTATGCACTTCTGCTGTTGCCATCTCAATCAAACTTAGCCGGTAGAGCTTAAGGGCTTCCTTAATTATAATTTAAGAACCTCTTACTTCAACTCGTCAAAAATTTCTCATCTCGTTCTCATTCATATGATTTAGAGGCACTTCCTCATTGGATTTCAAGGTTGCCACAGTTAGAGATAATTGGAACAACCGGGAAATATCAGAGAATTTTAAGAAGCCTGGGAAAACCTGGGAGCGCCAGTGAAAATGATGAGAGCACAAGGGGAAAATTGTTAAGTCGCCTTTATTTGCTTTTTAGAATGGTTAACGTTTCGAACAACAAAGATTGCCTGAAAACTATTTCCAATTTTGTCTTTTTAATCATTTGGCATTTATATTTGGCCAGAGAAATCAGAGAAATTCATTTTCCAAATTCTGTGGCAAGTCTGGAATGTCCTCGAGTGAAAAATTTTAGTGAACATGCCATTCATGTTCGAAGGATGCAGAAAAAGTCATTCTAACAGCCTCTCATTTCAAGTTGGAGGAGTTAGTAAAGATGTTCAATATTTGTTTATAACACTTGTTGATTTTTCACCGTATGGTTTTCAAAAGTAATATTTATTATTTATTTATTTTTTCTTTTTCCATGAGGCGGTACTACAAATATGAGCAATCAGTATCTTATTAATTTTGATAGGTTAACTTAAGAAGAAAGGAAAATAAAAGAAGAAAAGAATCTTTCATGAAGTGCTTAATCATGACTGCACAAACATTAGGGTAGAGTGAGGTACATTAGGCGTTACTTCAATTTCCTAACCTTCTTTTTCCATGAGCACTGAAGCAACCAAAAATTTATTGGCAAGACCTTTGGGAGAAAAAACGTAATTAAATGGCAAGTGTCCTGAGCCAAGAACACAGGAGAGAAAAATGGTGATTGGAAAAAGTTTCCTAATACATTAGTCACTTAGCCTAAGCAACACTCAAATTTTCCTTGCCTATAGTTTTTTGTCTCTCCAAGTTGCAAAATGCGAAGGATATGCAACGACTCAATCCTCGTATTTTGGTTTCATCCGTTGGTTTTCTTTCAGCTTACAATTAGCCAGGTGCACCATGAAATTCTATTTGAATTCATTTGCTCAATTTTATCAATCTAAGAAAACCAATATTTCATTAAGAAGTACTTCCATCTGTATTCTTGCTTCTTGCCGTGAAACATGTTTTTTTAATTGGTTAATTTGTATCGTATTCCACTTTTCTGATGTGGAATATAAGTCTGCTTACTGACGCCTCACTCATCCCTAAACGGATAAATTAGTCTTTGTATCTTTTCTTAAATTATTTGTATAAGATTTTTAATATAATAGTGTGTTGCCAATATGATTATTTATTACTGTAATTTATTTATTGAGTTTGTAGTATTATCTATTAAGTATTTTATTTTTTATAAAGTCACATTCTTGAATTTTATGACTTGTGTTCTTTTTTCCATCTCGTCCTTTCCAGTATTGGCAATGAAAAATAACTTTCGATGAAACCCTGTTTAAAAGAGAATGCTACTGTCTCAAGTCAAATTTGTTTATTTTTTATTTAGTATTTCTAGAGACCATAAAGGCTTTCTGTTAATGTCTGAAGACCAAAATTTCAAATTGCACATCACATACGTTTTACAAAACATTTAACTGAAAAATCTGGAGGAAAAGAAAGGAAAAAGTGAAGTGTAACTATATACTAGAAATTGCACGATTTGTTTTAAAAAAAAAATCAAATTCCTTTTCCTTTCAATTGTTCGAACTTTCGACTTTTGCCAAATTTGCTTTGATAAAACACAGGTTTTTCTGGGAAATGTTTGAAAATGTTTTCCAATCTATCAGAAAACTTTGTTTGCAATTTCATTTAAGTCATCTGACACTTTCAATGAAAAATATTCATAACTATACTTTAAAATAGTACTTCATCGAGAGGCATTTGGCAGCATTTGAATGTTCATACAGCGAGTCTGGCATTATGTGTCTGTCAATTAATTGACAATTCCTCAAATGTATGTAATAGATACTTATTCAGGATACTTAGAAACGTTCAGAATACAACCAATCGGAGGATGCAACTTAATTAACTTCTGCGTGGGGTTGGGCTGCATCGCCAAATTTAAAGGCGCACTATCAGCGATTTCGTTTCCAAGCGACGCGGCGCACAATGGTCCCATAGCTCGATTTAAGCGGCATTAAATCAGATCAGTATGCGAAACATTGCATTATGCGTAACCAGGGTTTTTTTTGGAATGCTGCGTTCAAGAATGCTAATGTAATATTTTCCAAAAAATCCACTTTTAAAGTCACAGCATTGCATAATTTACCTTTTTCAGTCACAAAATTTGGGCTGAATTGATTCTATTTAACTTGAGGTTGAATGTATCTATTCTGATAGATTATGTTTTTAAAACATAGTAAAAAGTCGAAAAATTACTTCTATGGGACTTGAAAGTGGCCTCCCGAGACGATTATTTAACGTTTCATGGCTATGGAGCGCTTCTTTCAAGTCTCATCGATCGGCACAGACAACAGGGTGCGAGTTTCAGCAATGTGATCAGGGCCGGATTAAGGGGGTGGCCACATGGGCTGCGGCCCATGGCGGCAAAATTAGGGGGCGGTAAATTTTGAAATTTTTTTAAATGCAGGTACAAAAAAATCGGATTCAGAAAAAAATTACAAACAAGAAAAGGTGACAAAATCTCTATTTCCTGAGAGTTCATTATATTAATTTCNTACCACATCTTCTAAGTTAGTTCTAAAGAAATTAATTAAAATTAAGCGTTTAAATACATTTCCTGGCTTTCTTAGGAGAAAAATGATGGCGCAAAATTCTAGAAATCGGACTTTAGAGCAATTTGGGGGCTAAATTTTGAAAGTAAAAACTTTGAAGGGTATTTTGTTTTATTCTTCTACAAGAATATAGCTCAATGAGTGCAAAAAAACTTAAAACGGTAGTATTATTGCACGTATTGATGGAAAAACAAGCCTGTTTAGTTGGTCTACGGTACGGACAAAAAATTTAACTTCCAGTGATAAAGGAGGCCAAAAAAATTTTTTTTTTTGAAAACGAAGATTGACCACTATTAAAATCGACTTTCATAGAGTATGAGGACTTCAGAAAACATGCTGAAGTTTTAAAATAACTAAAGTCACTTTTTTAAAAAACGATGGCTCCAAGAGCAAAACTTATTTGATTCTACTCTTATGCACCCTTCTCCCTCCGGCACGTTCACTTGATGGTTTTTATTGATGTTTCAAAATGAATGAGAAGAGGGCGAAAAAATACAGGCGGCCTATGGGCGGCAAGTAGGTAAATCCGGCCATGAATGTGATACGTAATTTTTAGGGACCATATGCTCANGGGGGGGGGGGGGGGGTGTGCCCCATCTGACATCCAAGCAATCCAACCCTCGGGGCTCCCCCACCTGACATCTAAGCAATCCAACCCTCAGGGTTGCCCCCACTGGCATCTAAGAAGCCCAAACCCCAGGGGTCGCCCACCTGACATCTAAGCAACCCAACACTCGGAGCTGCTCCCCCTGGCATCCATGAAGTCTAGCCAGAAAAAAGTTCTAGTGTTTCAGGTGCCTTCCCGATTTTTTTCGATCTCTTGCTTGCCGATAGACGACATCTTCAACAACACGTCTATGCAGCTAGCTAACTCAAAACTGTCAAAAATCGAATTACGCACTTCTGCACTTTCGCCATCGATATAATATGTAGTACAAGTTCACGAAGTTTGAATTTCGCGCTGTGTTTCTGAAACGAAATACGGTATGACGCTTCGCGTTGTGATTGGTTGCTCACGCTCTTTTTATTCAAGGTTGAACGGCTGCGGCAACGTCGCGCCTTATGTGATTACAGATTTGTGTTATCATTCTCCGAGGTTGTTTATTTTATTTTGTCCCAAGCAGCATTTTCAACCATACCAATTTAAGTAATTAGTTCGTGTGTTTCCTCGGAAAATGATCATTCTACCGTCTATTTTGTCGTGTGCTTGATCAAGTGCCATTTGTAAGCCTTGTGTGATTTCATTATGGTCATTCCTCCAATTATTTCACCCAGAGAAGCGGGTTTTACAGCATCTCATCCTTCAATGAGTCAAATTCTCTTTATTCTTTGCCGTAGTAAAACTTCTTTATAATCAATATATACCATCGAGAGAGCAGTTTTTCTGTGTGCCTCTGCCCTGCCCTAAAGCTTCTGGAATCGTGAGCGTCACCACTCCAAACCATGGATCAAGATAAGGAGCAAGTTGCCGATGCTTTCAGCACCATAAATGAGAGGCCAGTCGATGATATTTCTCTGGATATTTTCTACACCCCTCATACAATCACTCTCTTGGTTGCTTCAATTACTGCTGTAATATATTTATCATTTGTGAGGTAAGTTCAGAAGTTTCAATTGGAGGTAGCGATCATAGCTTTGAGCTGTGTAACTGAAATATTACTCTTACACGTAACAGCCAGTTATGAATGGATAAGATTAATTGATGAGATCCTTACTTTTACTCCTTTTTTCATATACATCAACAAAGTCTTATTTTTAAAATGATAAAGGAAGTTTAAAACACCGATTGGGTAATATTTCAGCTTGCAATGAAGTTACCTTGAATGCATCCAGTAGTCAAAGTCAACTGCTGTTCGAAATATAGAATACTTAAGGTTAACTGGTGTGAGGCATATCAGGTTTTTAGTTCAAACAACTGAATTAACCAAACCAAGAATGGTATCCTGTGTTCTTTCTGCTTGTACTGTTGGAGCCCGTTTTGGATGAATGTTCTTCTTTGCTCTGTTTTTATGCAGAATAGGGAATTCCCTATTCTGCGCATACAATGAAAAAGGACAAGTTATCTGAATCAAGCTCTATGTACCTATCCACAGGTATCAGATGTTCAACCGATGGCTTTTTGCACTCTCTTCTCTTGGCCAATGGTCTGTCCATTATGAATAAAAAAAAATATACCATTAGCTATATGGATGGGCATAGTGTGAAACTGCGTGTATCCTACGTCCTGTTTCAAACTCTCCGCTCCTATGTTATTATTTCCTTGAGAAACATGCCAACATCATAGCTTGAAATTTATACTGAATATATTCCTCTAACAGAAAAAAGAAATCAAGGAAGTCCTCAAGAAATTATGTTAACTAGTTTTCTAAAGAAAAAATAAATAACAACAGGAAGTCTGCAGCTTCGCAAACGGAGATACATGGCCTTGCACTTTGACCATAGATATTATTTTATTTTCTGAAAAAATCATTTGGTATTTTTACCTTTCAACATTTTGATTGATTCGACTCATTCACATTCCCTTCCTCTGGAATAGTAATAAAACAGTTGTAGAAAAAAAAGAATGACTTAGTTATAATTTAAACAAGTGAGACACTGAGATCTCTGATGAGCCTCCAATTTAAAGAATTGCCTGAAACAAGATCCCCTCTAATTGAATTAAATACTTATTTTTTCATTGAAAACTCAAAATTCATTGAAATAATTTTTCTCGTTTATTTTTCACAGAGATGAACAAAATGTTGACGATAATATTTGGGCTGGCTGTTGGTGCGTCCTGTTCTTCTTCCTCATCATATCGGTCTTAGCATTTCCTAACGGACCGTTTACAAGACCTCACCCAGCTGTATGGAGGATGGTGTTTGGAATTAGTGTTCTCTATTTGCTGTGTCTTCTATTCTTACTGTTCCAAAATTTCAAGACTGTGCGAGGCATCCATCAATGGTTGGACCCAAATTTAAAAAATTTCCACATAGATATGGATCGAGTAAGTATTGTATTCCTACCATAAGTAATTTTTGATTTTGCTCTAGAAGTCAGCCTTTCAAGAGTATAAGTGGTAGCCATTAACCTTGTCAGCGGGCTATATTAAAACTGATAGACAAAGAAGGCAAACTGAAAATAAAGCAATTCTATTGGTAGAAGCGGGTGGTTGCAATGGACAAAGGAGGTAAGTAATAGACTTACTAACGGCAGCCTACTAGAGACCCTGTACACGGAGAGAAATGAATGATGCTGACGACAGTGATTCCGCTCCGTTCAACAATGTTACATTGTCACCCACAGGCCCAACATTGGCCACGTCGTACCGCACAATGTCAGCATTGTAATTTCGAAGGTGCGTGTTAAGTTGTGGAGGTAACTTTGTAGCATTGTTGAATGCATGGTCCCGCTGTGGTGAAGCGCACCGTGCGCTTGCTGCGTGGCCCACAATGCGGCATTTTTGTGTTTCTCGCTCTCTGTGGCTGTATCCTGGGAGTATGAGTGGCGGAACATGCAAAAGAGCCCTTTAAAATGATTACTCGCGAGAACAACTACCAAAATCGTAAAAAAGTAAATATACGAAACGTGCGGATGCTTGCCTTTGGCATTTTGTTGATAGAAATTTTCCTGCCTTAACCGGGGATCGAACCTGCGACCTACCTAACACTAGCCTAACCCTTTACCGACCGAGCAACGAAGGAACCTGTTTCGGTGGGATGAAAAACCTGTGTATAGCGTCTGTTTGAACGGATCGTTAAGTTGAACGCAATTTTTGGACAGTTTTCACCGACAGCATTTTACTATCGTACATATTTATTTCTATTTGTGGTTTTACTGTTTCTATTCTATTATTATTTAATTTTAAAATTAATTATATTATTTTATTTTTTGTTTTATTTCATTATTTTATTTATTTCGATTGTTTAATTGTAATTCTCTTGTTTTTTTTTNGGCTGGCTGTTGGTGCGTCCTGTTCTTTTTCCTCATCATATCGGTCTTAGCATTTCCTAACGGACCATTTACAAGACCTCACCCAGCTGTATGGAGGATGGTGTTTGGAATTAGTGTTCTCTATTTGCTGTGTCTTCTATTCTTACTGTTCCAAAATTTCAAGACTGTGCGAGGCATCCATCAATGGTTGGACCCAAATTTAAAAAATTTCCACATAGATATGGATCGAGTAAGTATTGTATTCCTACCATAAGTAATTTTTGATTTTGCTCTAGAAGTTAGCCTTTCAACAGTATAAGTGGTAGCCATTAACCTTGTCAGCGGGCTATATTAAAACTGATAGACAAAGAAGGCAAACTGAAAATAAAGCAATTCTATTGGTAGAAGCGGGTGGTTGCAATGGACAAAGGAGGTAAGTAATAGACTTACTAACGGCAGCCTACGAGAGACCCTGTACATAGCAAGTCCATTATTTTCCCCCTTAGTCTAGAACTACCACTTGTTGTAACCAATTCAAACAAATTCAGAAGTTTTTGTCATTTTTATTTTTAAAGAGGGTGTTAAAAAAAAGGGGGGGGGAGGTAATTACTTGAAAGCTTGAGCTCCACACAGAAAAGATTAAAAGTATCGTGTGTGGAAATAATTAGAAAGAGTGTGGGGAGCACAAAGCCAAGATCCACTGTGAAAAATTCTGACTGAAATTCGGGAGCAAACAACTTTTCCTACTATGAAATCTTTCCATTGATACTTTTGTATCGCTGTTAATTTAGTAAAATCTTGAAAAAGTATTTGAAAAAGCCCAATTAAAAACTTTGCCAGAAATTTTGAAAACACTTTTCCTAGGGCAGAACTGGAAAAATTTGTATAAAGTACTCTATTCGAACCTTTCAAAGAATCCATTTAAGTAGGTAACCTTACATTTCCAAACATTTTGTAGAATAAACCCCTCATTACTGATTTTTCATTTTGTTTGTTATCTTTTATTTTTTCAGCAATATGGTGTCAACTGCTCAGATATCACTTTCGAAAAAATCTGGGCCCATCTTGATGTCTTTGCTGCTGGTCACTTTTGCGGTTGGGCCTTCAAAGCTGTCCTAATTCGACATTACGGGATTCTATGGGCCATGAGCATCATGTGGGAAATAACAGAGGTATAATTAAGCTACCAATATGTGAACCATTTGTGTTACTAAAACGTAAGAAAGGAAACATCAAAGATTAATGATGTTCAATCTGGGTCAAAAGTGAAATTTGTTACTCACAATCAGTAGGGAAAATTTCTTTAAAAAAATACACCTAATATAAGGTCTGTCTAGAAAGTATCAAGCTTTTTTACTTTTAAAGGAAACTAGCTAACCTGGGGCTTTGAAACTTTAATCTCCCTCGAAGTACTCTCTACCAGACACAATGCACTTATTCCAGCGGTATTTTAACTTCTGAAAGCACTCCGCAGTACTTTTTTGCAGTACTCATGATCTGATCTTCAATTTATCTATTCACTCTTTTACTTCTGCTTTCAGATTCAGTTTACTCATCTGCTACCAAACTTTAAAGAATGTTGGTGGGATGCTCTAATCCTAGATGTCTTGGTGTGCAATGGCTTGGGAATTTGGGTTGGAATGAAGATCTGCAAGTGTTTAGAGATGCGAGAATACAAATGGGTGAGCATCAAAGACATTCACTCGACAAGAGGAAAATTGAAAAGAGTCATGCTTCAGTTCACGCCCGAAAGTTGGACCCATGTTCGATGGCTTGACCCAACCTGCTCATACATGAGATTTTTTGCTCTTAGTCAGATGGTTATTTTCTGGCAGCTCTCCGAATTGAACACGTTCTTTTTGAAACATATCTTCGAAATGCCTCCAAATCATCCTCTTGTCATCGCCAGGCTTGGTTTTCTTGGAATAATGGTGGCTCCATCTGCCAGGTTAGTCAATTTTTTGTCAATTTGATTACTTCGCCTTTTTTTATTTTGCATATGATTTCTCCATTGGCTATGAGTTGTTGTTTTAAATTTTGAAGCCAGGCAGATTTTTTTTTACTGTAACCATTTTTTCCATCAACTTAGTGAATCTGTCGAATAACTACCTACTCCGAAGGTTATTGCACCGTAGCAAAAAGCATGAGCGAGTTACTGAGAACCCTAGCAATGGTGCCCAAAATTCGGTCTGATGAAAACATAAAAAGTGCGCACTTTTCATTTCGCTGTTATCGTTTCAACAGGCACCCAGCTTTGTGTTGTTTTTTGTTGTTGATTTTGCAACGCTTCTACTTAAGACTTTGTGCTTTGCTATGTAGTGTTACCACGGTTCTGTATAGTTTTAGTGCCCTATACCCTTACCCTTAATATTTTCGGCCAGCCTTCTCTTCCCTCTCGTTTCTATAACCTTTAGCATGGACGACTAAAGCATTTTGGACGAGAAACTGCAGCCTGTTGGGACCCGGAGCACAAAAATGCATGTACGCTACCTTGTGGCCTCTCATTAAAGGGTAAGACCGTGCTTTAAGCTTTAGCTTTTAATTTTTCCCTCTGTTTCTTAGTACATTTCACAACTTTTCTTTCTCTGCCTCCCCTTCATTTTTTTTTGCATTTGCACTGGTTCTTTATTTTTCTGTCTTCTCACTCTCACTTTGATCCAATGTCTACTTGGACATTTCAAAAACATTAAGGATATTTCAGAGTATCAAATTTTACCGCAACATCTAATTCTGGGAAAGTCGATTCTTGAGAAAATTTTCATTTTTCGGACAATTCTGAGATTACAGAGAATATCCATTTCAATTTCCAAATTTACTGCAAAGAATTATTCGGCGAACAGCTCTGAATGTCAGTGATGAACGCGGAATTGAACGTTATATTTGTTGACTATTAGCAACGATTTACCTGACACAAGATTGTTTACCTCTGGCCCAGTAAGAAGTCAGCTCCCTGGATCCTTAATTGCCCAATTTTTGTTCAACTCGGCTGATCAAGGTCTCAATCAATTTTTTTTAGAGTTTTTTTTTACAAAGAGACCAAGATTTGCTTAATAAGTTTGTTAGTTTATGAATTAGAGCGCCAGACAGGGTCATTTTGGGACACCCTTTGTAGAATTTTACTGCGGTCATACATCAATGAATGACTGAGCGAAGATTCGACAGAGGATTGTTGACCTAATTGACAATTACTAATAGAAAAAAATAATCATCATCATATCCTTTTTTATCACTCTACTTATTATTCCCGCCATTTACTTTAGTTGTATATTTTTGTTTTCAGACAATATTACAGCTTTATTACGGATACTAGCTGTAAGCGGCTAGGAACTCAGTGCTGGGTTTATGGTGCCATAATGCTCTGTGAAACACTGTTGTGTGTTAAAAATGGAAAAGAACTTTTCGGCCACACAAAAACTGTCAATATTATCGTATGGTTCATTTTCATGTTTTTTGCGACGATGCTGTGCATCTCTGGGTGTGTGCTGTGGCATAAATATTTTGAGGTAAAGATTAGAATCATTTTTACTCAGAAATTTATTTTCTCTAGGTTAGTTATGACCATGCAACAGAGACTATTTTAGTCCGACATTTTCATCTTTTTCTCAATCTTGGTTCTATTATCAGAAACTAAGTCTTAAAAAATGTGTCAGTATGTATGATGCTCTACAGTATAATTTCACCAGTTGGTCTTGGTACACTTAGTAACCATCTTTTTTTCTACAGAACTCTAACTTCGAATATTGTCACTCATAGTGATCCTTGATTTCTCTGTGCTTTGTTCCCATGATGATAGGGAAATAAATTAAGTTTTTTTTTTCTCCCC